CAGTAAGGTTAAACCGGTTGCACTCCGTGCATTGCTGTTGATCACTGCAATTGCATATGTCGTAATATAGTAAACGCAAAATAAATTTTGCATACGCTTATAACGACAATTCAAGAATTATTCTGATTTAGATTTAAAACAATTTCAACCGAAGAAAATGTAGGTTTGCAGAAAAATCTACTTGTTTCGTTCATGCTGAAATCGTTGCTGAAACTCTTCACTGAATGTAGAAAAGGGGTCTGACGAAGGGAAACGTGTATACGCTAGATCACAAGCAGTTTCTTGAAGCAAGGAACGTCAAGCGGTAATAGAGAAGTAAAAATTCTTCGTCTTTAATCGACCAATTATACTGCATAGCAATGTTTTGGGAAGACGACGAAGAAACTGTCTCAGAAAGGAAGGCTAAGCAACTGTTCCTTGCAAATCCGACCGGCAAAAGGCCCAGGGGACGGCCGAGATTAAGCTGGTGCAAATATATGGAATATGTCTGTTTCAGACTCTAGGTATGTTCTGCCAAAGGTCAGACTGTAACACGGGATCGGGAACGTTGGAAGCACTGTCTGATGCGTCTGCCTCCGCGACCCGAAAGGAGAAGCGGCGATAGAGGTTGAAGATGAAGAAGTAATCTTCAGGTGTTGTGATGCAGCAAGTTGTTTTCTGAGACAAAATTTCCAAATTCATACACTACTATCTTAGCGTGGCTTTGGATTTTCTCACAAGCGGCTGGGGAAAAGAATTCACTCAATTGTGGTTTCGTATAGCGAACAGAGAGGTAGGAACTGACAGGCCTACGAACCGTGCAAAAACAACAGAGTGCCCTTGCAATGACCGTGCTTGAACCGTAAGATTTATTAGCCGGTCTGTGTGACTACTTCACCATCACAAACTTGACATTCCTTTTTTGCAAGAAATGTGTGACAGTAAATGCAGCCACCCCATGAACTAATGTAGTGGTGTTGTTACTGACTGTCATCTTTATCACATAACGATTAAGCATAAAAGCTACTTTTACACATGCGTGTTATGAATATGCTTGTGCCCTTATAATAATTTTAATACGATTGCAAAGTTCTATAAAAATGGGTTTGCTTTAAGTTTCTCCTCAGTATGAACTGCCTAATTCAAGGCAATAGAAATGCTTACCTGGAATAATTATTTATTTGCCTTCAATAAGATATCAGCATATTTTCAAGACTTGTCCATATTCAAGACGACCAAAGATAGAATGAAGACATTTTCTCGCTTGAAAGCCTTGAACTAGTAGTGAGAACAAGGACCATAGTAAAAACGCAAACACCTCATTGAAGCAAACCTCCTTGCCAAGAGGAATATGACCCTTGCCGCAGCAGTGGGTGTTGACTAGTATCAATCAGAGGGAACCTAACCAACGGTCAGACATCTTAAATCTGGGTTACTTTGCTGTTTCTGTTTAAACTCTGTTGGCTTCAGTTGAAGATGACAAAAGAACAAGATTTTGAAGCTTCTGGTATACGAATAGCAGGAGGTTTAATTAAGTATGCACTAAACAAACTCATGTGGCATTTCCGGGCTCTGATTGAACGCCCTGCCAGTGTTCAAAGCCTAATTATGCGATTCCTGAAATGAGAAAGTTCAAATTTATCCAATTGATTTTCATGACCGAAATTGATGCGGAGAGAGACAGCTTCCCGAAACAGACCTTTATCCTTCGAGCAACTTAACCGCCAACACCAGAGGGCGCAATTTGTTGGTACAATGGTAATAAAGCGGACCACACTTTCGAGTGATGATGACAGTCGCTCATGTTTGTATTTTTTTACCGTAATGAATTTCGCCTGAGGAACAGGCAACGTCCCTTCAATGATGACGGTACCAAAATATGTGTAACCTTTACAATACGTTTAGAAACTGTGCACGAGTTTCGTTGCGCTTATGGGATACAAACTTAGTCGACGGTTTTATCCACATCTCGAGTTAACAAGGGTTTTAGTATAAATCTAATGCTGCTTTTCAAATAGTTTCTACCTTTGAATAATCGTAGAAATGTTCTTGTTCCTCGTGATTCATATCTGAAAGAATTGTTCATCTTTTATATATGTAAATTTCACTTTCTGACCTGAAAAATTCATATTCATATTAAGCTGGAGTCATCTTTTGCAGTAGCATCGTTACTGTTAAAAGTCGTCTATTTAATTTATACAATAAAACTACTGTTTATCCTGTCCATACCCCGGGTTTGCACAGCATAATCGCATCGTTCCCTGTCTCTGGATGCAGAGAATCGCTTTAGCGAGCTAGGATCTATGACATGTGAGCGTCAGCAGCGTCTCCTCTCACTGCTGGATCGCATAAATACGCATGGAAATGCCAACCAAGTTTGGCTGAGAAATGGATGCCTGAGCATCAATTGAAAAATTTCAAATTCCCGGGTATTGGGGAGGGGGCGGGAGAAGGGTGAGGAATTGTTGAGCACTTTTCAGATTCATGATGGAAGAATTGTTCGAGACGTGTTCTGGCTTCTATTATATTTACTTCTTTATTTACGGGTACTCTCTCCTGCAAATCATTAATTCGCTATCATGTGGGTCAATGAGAATTCCAGCCATCGCGGCTGCGTAGATATGCGTGTGCCTCTAGTGTTTGGATGTCAAAGACTAGTTTTGGGTTTTTCGGTTGGTTGGACCAAAAGATTCGAGATGAATTTGACGCTCAGACAAATTTGCAGTTGTATTAGGGAAATTTTATGCCGCTCGTCGAACTGAAGCAAAACAACCAAGTTGTACAATAAAGATACAATCCAGTTCGCCAGATGGTGGATTCGTCCACGTGGTATTAAATGTCCTAGTCAGGACGGTTACTAACCAAACCTCATCCATTTTCTCAGCATTAACATCAGTGAGGGCATAAAATATACCAAATCAGTGTGTAAAGCAAGGATAACTATATGGAACAATGGAAAGTATAGAAGAATGGAAAGTAATCTAGCTTACTTGTCAATTTATGTAGCAATTTCGTCCCTGATTCTACTGAAGATTTACAGACTACTACTGCAGACTTCATTTTTAAGGACACTACGCAAAACAGTACAAGTATAAGTAAAAATTTACCGATCCGATCCACAGCTTCATCGTTATCCACAGTACCCGTGTGGGTTTCGAAAATTAATGATAAATAAAACATGCAAACCCATGTATTCATACTTAGAGCATTTTATCAATATTAAAATAACGCAAATCGAAAGTGCGTGACGTATGAACGTGCAAAAAATGTTTTGTATGTTGAAGTTATGCGATATTAGTACAGTTGGATTGGCACAGAATATAAAATTGTGCACTCTATCGTAACTGTAATAGTTGAATTTCTAGTTGTCTTTGTTATTTCGATTGTGCGATTTAAAGTTTAGGGATGTTGACTTTGGATGATTCATGGTTGTAGAGGCGAATATAACGTAAAACCATATATGACATCCACAAGGTACAGAAAATGAACTTAATTTGCAGCGTCAGTCATCATGTATAAACATGTAGCTTCTTGTTTTCTCAGGTGTTACGAAATGATTTTCCACTGTACGCCCAAAGCAGGAAGAAGCATCACTTTGCATAGCATTAGTAAATACCGAATACCATCGC